TTCCTCAGCTCTTGGGCCTTGGTCTTCTCATGATTGGCGAGAAGATTCCAGGGCATTCCGAGGATTCCCTGGACTTTGGCTCTCACGCGAACAAGACCTATGGCATGATGAAGGGCGCAAGCTATGCCGAGTGGGTGATCACCACCTACCACGAGTCCGGGGGGTCACGAGGGCACGAGCAACTGGCGCCTCAAGCGCTTTGCGGAGTGGCTGATCAACGTGAGTCATCCGACTCCCAAGACAGCGGCCCCAGTGACTCCCAAGAAGACCGCCGGCAAGATTCAAGTGTCCAGTCCAGACATCACATCGGACTCCTCCTTCAGCAAGGTCTCGATGACCAAGAAGAAGGGCTGGAGGCTGGAGGAAGGTGAAGTAAAGCCTGTGAAGGCTCCTTCACCCTTGTTGCAAATAGTCTGGTGAGAGGAGCCTGTGAAAGGCAGGAGCCAGCAACATGGAACATAAACAGGAGAGAAAAAAAAGGGCTTTGCGGTGACTGTGTTTTTTCATGTTTTACGAACATACATGATTGTAGCCTTTTGGTTCAAGTATGAAAGGTTTTTGTTTCTGTCACTTTTGGTGGCAAGCTGGTGCCTCACAAGCAGGGCACCTAAGAGAAAGAGATGGAAGCCTGAAGAGAGGCTCTGGTATGAACCAAATGAAGACGCTGAAGAGAATTTGGGAGAAGCATTGAAAAGCTTGTACAAAAAACACAGTGCCTGCTTCAGAAGGCATTGAGCTTTTGAAGAAAGCAGATAAGTGTTGATTACAATTCAAAAAACCCTGTGGGGGGGAACACAAGCCTGAAAAAGGCTCAAGGCACCAAGCCTGAAAAAGGCCCAGAAGAAAGGAACAAACATGCATCAAGAACTTTGAAGAGATATTTGCAAAAGAACAAAAGGTGGGGTGAGTTTTACTGCGCAACCATCCCTCTTTGGAACCCCAAACAAAAGAAAATCATACCAGGCCCTGTGCCCTTCTTGCTTCCACACGAAAATTTGTCAGACTACATGTACCAACAGGGTGCCAAGGCAGAGGCCATGCCTGATGAAGGCGCATACAGACGCCAGAAATTGGCTGAGGCATGCCAGGCATGGCACCAACCACCTGGCAGCATGGTCCCTACTCGGATCCATGGCGATGGTGTGCCGATCCAAGGCAGTACCGCCAAGTCCATTCCAGTACCTCCCAGATCAGAGGAGGAGGAAATGCTGTCGGACAACGAGATCAAGATCCAGGGGCTGGAGAGCCAGCTGCAGGCCGTGAAGGGAGCGAGCAAGCGCGAGAAGCGCGGCTCAGCCTCGCACCACCCCGTCCTGCAGTGAGTGATCCTGAGGAGGACCTCACTCCTCCACTCCTGGGCTCATTGAGCGCAGCTTCGGAAAAGCTGGTACGCAGTCAAGCCGATCAAATGATAGAACAATGTTGGCGGTCGCTTTTTCTTCAGAAACGAAAGGTTTTGTTTGAGATTTGTTGTGAACCTATAACTCTGTCTTGAGTGAAGAATGTGCTTCGATGTACGAGCCTGACTCGTTCGCTCGATTCGCGCGCTGCCGCACTGGAACGGAGGGGACATTGAAACTGAACAGGGTCGGTCTCTGGTTTTAGATCGCATGAAAGAAGAAAGGCCTCTTGTTGTTTGGGTTTCTCTGGAGTGTGGTCCCTATACAGCCCTTTACAGCATCTGAACAAAAGGACCCCAGAACAACGCGCGTCCCTGGCCGAGAAACAATCGCATGCTGGGAAAAATATGAAGGCGCCACCATTTTGGCGGCAGAAGCGGACAAGCGTGGGTGCTTGTTCGTGGTTGAACTCTCGGAGAGGTGTGAAGGTTGGAACTTACCGTGGTTGAATGATTTACGGGAAAAGGTCATTCTGCATTTTGGGGTGTGCAAAGGTTGTCAGGTTGGTTTGTGTGATCACAAAGGAAAGCTCCTCTCCAAGGGTTGGCGATTGTGTGGGATTCCTCATTCGTCATATGACCTTGAAGTGTTCGAATGATCATGAACACGGTAGGTGTGAAGGATCCACCAATAGCAAGAACTCCGGTTTGTACACTCGATCGTTCGCCCGTCGATTCCTGTCTCATTTGAAGGTGGGTAAAATATGGGAAAGGCTTTGGTGGGAGAACTTGTTGATGGCACCCCCGGTCCGGTGAGTTGGGTTGCTTCGGTGGGTCATGACATGAAGAACTCATTGCCCCAACAAGAAAGAACTCCTTGGGCCTTGGCGCTCTCCCCTGACATAGTTCACAGTGCTCAAAAAAATCTGAGGAAGTTGCATTCTGCGACCGGCCATTGCAGCCGGGAGTGCATGGTGAGAGGTGTGAAGAGGAGAAACGTGAGTCCTGAGGTGAGGTGTTAGACCTCGCCCGCAAATCCGCTTGCCCCACCTGTCAAGAATATAAGAAAACGGTTCCTAGAAATCCTGCGACTCTGTCCGGTCTTCCCGCCAAGTGGAGCCGGGTTCAATGCGAGTGTGTGCGGATTGGACTCATCCAGAGACTGGTGAGACCTGCAAGTTTCTTTTGGCCGTGGACGAGGGCTGTCGCCTCCCCGTTGCAAAATGTCTGGGACAGGGCAAGCCTTTGCCTCTGTCGGCTAGTGACCTGATCCAGTTTTATGAAGAACAATGGTACCCCCTGTTTGGAAACCCTTCCGAATGGAAAGAGGCCTTGGAAAAATTCCCTTCCAACATCCGCCAGGATGAATCCAAGCAAGATGAACTTGAACATGATACCGAGGAATATGTTCCTGAATGGATGGATGACTTATCCTCAAGGAGGAAATCTGCAAGACATTTGGGCTCCACCAGTGAAACGTGCCTTCACCAAGACTCCTGGTGTGAAGAGAAAAGAACAAGACTTCCTGATGGAACCGTCCAGGAGGAGAAGAAGAAAGATGGAACAAAACCGGACTCCGACCTCCTGGTCCTACTTGCTGCCGCCTCACGAACTCCTTCACAGCACATCTGTTCAAGACGCCTGCGTCGCGATCGAGATCGATCTGCCTTCAGACAGAGATCTTAAAAAGAAAGGATGGATGAGAGATTTTAGCAGTTTTTTTGGTGAACCAGGTGAAGAAGAACCACGTTGAGGTGCTAGAGAGATATCTCACGGAAGAAGAGAAGAAGCTATTCGTAGCTGCAAAAGATGTCAAAGTCAAGAACTTCATCTTGGCAAAGGTCTTTGAATGCCTACCAGACCACATGATGCCAGATCCCTCACAGGTGATCAGAATGCGCGGGGTATTGACTTGGAAGGTGAACCCAGAAACCTCAGCCAAGAAGGCCAAGGCCCGTGTCGTGGTCCTTGGATATTTGGATCCAGACTACGGGAGAAGACCTTCTGCAAGTCCAAGTCCCGCACTTCATGACAGCTCTTCCTCCAGTGCGCCGCAAGTTTTGGATTCTCCATTGAGAAGGGCGACGCCTCAGGAGCGTTCCTGCAAGGACGTCGGTTCTCTCGAGAAGTGTTTTGCGAGCCTTTGCCGAGATCTGTCAAGCGATGGGCCTACCAACAGGTTCAGTTACCAAGCTGACCCGCGCCGCTTGTGGAAGCCCCCATCGAGTGGTATCTCACCATCAATGAGTATCTCGAGTGTCTTGGCTTCCGCCGACAGCAATCAGATCCCTGTGTTTGGGGCCTGTTCCGAAAGGGTCGGTCGCCTGTTGGCCGGGCTTGCGGACATGCAGAATGCAGATTGTTTCCTTTTTGGCAGGACATCCCACCTGCGAGATTTGGAAAGACATCAAGCAGATTCAGACCAAGTTTCGATGGTCCGAGTGGGAACAAAGCTCCTTCATTCAGTGCAGTGTGAAGATAGAGCAGCTCCCTACAGGAGGGTTCAGTTTGAGCCAACCAGAATTCCTGAACGACATTGAGGAGATGTATATTCCCATGGTCCAAGAGAGACTCTGACATCACGGCCTCTGAGCGACAACAGATGCGCAGTGTCTTGGGTTGCCTTTCCTGGCACAGTGGTCAAGTCCATAGACCTCGGGGCAAGTGTTGGCCTCCTGCTGTCCAAGGCTAACTCAGCAGTCGTTCAGGACTTTGATCGACACCAATCATCTCCTTCGTCGAGCTCGGGCAAAGCGAGATCAGAAGCTGATCATTCACCCCATTGAGCCTTCCAAGGTGAGTGTCACTACTTGGGTAGATGCAGCACATGCTAATCGCCAAGATGGCAGCAGCACGAAAGGAATACTCGTGGGTTGCTCTTCACCTCAGCTCCTGTCAGGCGAACTTGATGTGGTCTCTCCGGTGTACTGGGTTTCTTCCAAGATTACTCGGGTATGCCCCTCAAGCGTCGCTGCTGAAACTAGAGCTGCAGTAGATGGTGAAGATATCATGTACTCGGTCCGCTTCCAGTTGAGTGAGTTCCTATAGGCCAGCCAGCAATGGCCCAGCAAATGTGTGGAACTGCGATGAGGTAGTGGACCATGTCCCAGGTGTGTTAGTGAGCGACAGCAAGAATGTCTTCGACTGGCTGAATCAGACCATGCTGACACTTCGTGGCGCTGAAAAGCGCAACGATTTAGAGACTCTATGCCTCAAGGAGGCCACAGAGACAGCGAATGTCAAGATCCGTTGGGTCAATGGCGATTCTCAGCTCGCCAACTCCCTGACTAAGGATTGAGAACCCCACCAGTGTCTTCTGTATTTGAGCAAGAATTGTAGGCGGCGGATTGTTTATGATCCTTCTTTGTTGTGTGGCAAGAAGCGAAAAGCTCTCGGTGTCGGAACTTAGATGTCCAAGAGGGCTCACGAAGATTTTAAACTTTTGAGCCCGTGCGAATTTGACAATTCCATTTTCCATATGTCGTACGTCTGTTTGCCATCTGATCTACTCGAGCACCCTCTGACTTGGATGAAAAGGCATCCGCGCTCGTTTGAGGTTCGCTTGTGTCGTGTCTCTCGCACTGAGGGAATACATCCACAGAGTGTTTTCACATGTTTTCACATTTCATCGCGTATTTTTCCCCCGGCCTTGAGTCGCCAGGAGAACTTCACAACGCCCCGTGCAGTGGTGTCCCTCCGCTTTTTCAATTGCTTCCGCTTGCTCCTAGAGAAGGCCGAAGACCCCAACGAGCTGAAAATATATGTGGAAACCTTGGCCTTCAAGCTCCTTGGACGTGAAGGTATTGTTGGGGATGGTGGATCGGTTTTAGGGTTGGCCGAAATTTGTGCGGTGGGTGTTACCTAGCAAATAGATGCAACGGCCAGGTTGGAGGACCAAAGACCAAACATCGATCTTGTAATGTGGCATGATTGCCGCCAGCGATGATCAGGCATGATCCAGCAAAAAATGGAGCGCAACACAGCGCAACAACAGAGGAAGGCATTGTTTAGACAAAAAATACACGCAGCTTCTGGAGCTCCGTCTTCGGCTCTCTCCAAAGCCTCCCTTGGGGTCCAGTGGAACTGGATCAGAGGGGCTTGCAAACATGACTCCCACTTTTTTTTTGACTCTCAGTTTCTTGTTTCTGACGCTATTGATACTCAAGAAGAGGGGGAGGAAGAAGATGAAGATGTTCTCAGGAAGAAGAAGAAGATGCTCTCAAATTTCTTCATTTAAGATGCTAAAGCTGAGGGGGAGGAAGAAGAAGAATAAAGTGATGATGATGATGATGATGATGATGATGATGAACACAAGTCCAACCCAACCCCCAACCTCCAACCCATCACCCAACCCACAACCCAAAGCTTCACGCCAGCTGGTGGAGAGGCAAGTCCTGGCAATCACAGCGTTCAGTGATGAAACGTGTTATCACTAAAAGGGATCCGCTCCGCACAGCTCATTTTCACCCTCACATCGACATGTCATCGCTTTCCGCAGTCACATCGGCGAGACAAATCAGGTTGAAGCCGCACTGATTGAATCTGATCTCTTCGTTGGGACCTCGAATCTCGAATGTGGCAAAGAAAACATGTGACAAAAACATGTAACAAAAACAACTGTTGGACAAGGGGCCCAAATGAAAGAGCGGTCCTTCCACCCATGGTGCAATGTGATATATCTTTCCGCCGATTGGGGCCGTGGTATGGTATCCCACATCCTGACCAGGAGCATATGTGCAGGTTGCAGTCACGATGAGAGCCACTACCTTCCCTGCCTTGATATCCATCTTGTTGAGAGTCTGAACAGCTTCCATCGCATTGCTTGATTTGCTCAGCATAGATTCACACTGGTTGTACAAGAACTCTTGGGTCTTCTCCCAAACATACCTCGAGTCAAAAACCGGACCCTTGACACAACGGAGACATGAACGACAAAGGAATGCTGTCAAGTAACTTCAGTGTCACAGAGTGCCTGATGTTCTCCAAAGTCACACGGCTATCAAAATCATCACTCCTTGGTGTCAGACTCATTCACTTGACGCACTTAAGAAATCCGACGGCCGAGTGACCCCGGCTCTTCCTGCGTCAAATGGTCTCTCCTGGATAAAGTGATCACGAAGCGCTGCAACCTGAAGAAGTACACGGAAACACTGAAAACCAAAACCAAATTCATTCAACACGACAATCATTACAGAATCTTGCAGTTGACACCTGGGCACTGCTCCATCTTGGCCAGGCATGACATGTCATCCAGCTGTCTCACCAGCAACTCAAGCATGAAGGTTTCAGCATCGTCAAGGTCAGACATGGCTCTCTAACAAGACCTGTCAGAACCTGCTCGACAAGGGTCTGCGGAGTGAGGGCAAAGATATGGCGCATCAAACTCAAATCGCAGTATTTGACTTTGAACATGAAATGCTCCTTTGACATGACCGTTGAGGACCTTTGACCTGTGACTTTGAACAGCTCCTTTGACACGACCTTTGACCTCTGACTATTTGAATCTGAATCTGAATGCTGAAAAAATGAGTGTTCTTGAGGAAAAATGCTGAATCTGAATCTGAGATCGCCAACTTTTTTCAACCCCAACCGCAAGATCCCAAAGGCATCATCAAGCGATGCGTTCTGTACAAATTTCCTCGCTTGGTGGATGACAGATTCAGCCCCGTGATGTCGATGCGATGCACATCCATCACATGATCAAACACTGAGAACGGGATGAGGAGGCTGACCGCATCTCCCTCCTCATCCTGCTCGGGATCAAAGTCCCAAGCCAGCACCTTTGATGCCGGTTGGAGCACCGAAGGCAACGTCAATGTCTCGTTGAGTGAGACATCGTCTGCAGGGATCCAGGCGCCGAAAATGTCCAGGACCTTCTTTTTGCGCCCGGCTCGCATGTTCATCTCTGGTGAACGTGTTGGATGGTACCACGCAAACCTTGGTTTGTGGCTGTCAATCAAACTGCTCCACCTGAAAACTTGAATTGCCAAACCGTTCAATGCCTCCAAAGAACAATCCCTGCTCTTCGCCATCGTAATTTACCAACTCCATCAAAACTCCGAGAACGATGGGCAGCGTTTGATCTTTGCCAGCCACAACACAGAAGTCGCCAGGGCCAATGAAAGCCTTCCTGGCAGGTGCTCGCGACTCGTCCAAGCCTGTCATGGTGACAAGAGAATCCTGAGGCAAGTGGCCGATGTCAGCCCCCATCGAAATTGAGTAGTAGATGTCATTTGGGATTTCCAGGGGGTCTGGCTCTCTGGCGACAAGCTGGCACGGGCCCAAATGAGCACTTCTCAAATCCGAAATCATAGTCTCCTCAGTGCATATGAATGAACCCACCCAACCAAAGATCTAACATGTCGCAATAATAATTTATCATCAAGCTTCCAGAGATGGGCCAGCATCTGGTCCATCCAAATAAGCCCGCAATTCACGAAGTTGCTCCCTTGCGACTTGGCCCGATGCTGCCAATGAGGCTTCCTTAGGCCAAGATCAGACAAAAAACTATTAATAGAAATCACGAATCATAGCTACAAATGCCCAAGCTTCCAACTTGTCTAAGAAGTTCAAGTGCTTCGCCTTTGATTGCTCATCAAACTCATGCTTCACCAAAGGCGGTTTTGCCGTGGCAAACACGGCAACGCGGTCATACTCAACCAGCAAACGTGGTGTTGACCATGACTCATCTGACACGTATTGCCTCCACTTGACCCAAATCCCCATATTGTCCACATAGAGCCGGAGGGAGTGGACATTTCGATATCGGTGAAGCTCGATGCCATACAAGGTGCGAAGGTGAGTGAAGTCGTAGCTTGAACCGTGGTGGCTCCAGTTCATGGCAAATGCCTTCAATGACTGGGAAGAGATAGTGGCCATTTCGTCCATTGTGAAATACGTTCGCCCCCTCAACGATGTAATCAATCTGGAAAAGAACCGGTCCAGCGATCCGTGAGTGTGTCCCACCAGCGGGTATTGAAATTCCACAGCCTTCAACTCAGTGCCATTGTGAAGGGTTGCCAGCAGCCAAATGGCCCAGCATACGCATGTACTGTTCTTGGTCTCTTTCGGGGTGTTGTCGGCCCCACATACAAGCACTGTGGGAGCCGGCCCTCTTTCATAGCGGTACGATGGAGTTGCCTCGTGAGCATTGTTGCCTGAGAGTTGGCTCCATGGGAGGCGTTCTCCAAGGTGGTGGTCAGGCAGAACTCATCCTCACCTCAGGCACTCTGCGGAGCTTGCGTGAAACAAAAGCTGCAGAAAACTGATTTTGCACGTGTCTCCAAGATGCGCTTTGGGCCAGCGTAATGCACACCCACAACGCCAACAACAAAGCGCTCCCCCAGCTTGAACAACTGTGTGGCAAGCCTTGGTGGTGTTCAAGACGCTTTCTGAACAGCAGGAAAAATGACACAGTAGCAAATATTGAAATCAGTAACATATCATGAACGCATGGGAGGATGGTCTTGTTCTGGTCACACTTGTCAATTGACAAGTACCTGACAGCAAGGGTCAGATGGTCAGTGGCAATGTCGCGCATCAAAATCATTCACTGTGACATTCACACGCCCTCAAACAGAGGTCACCAATCTTCTCCAGTTCGCCGGCACATCTCTTGACACCTTGCAATTGCCAGCCGCTGCGCTGCCTGGAAGGTGTAGTGTCTTCCTGGAACCAATCACGAATACCTATGCAATTCAAGTCAGTCAGTCACAGTCAGGCAGTGAATCACAGTCCTAATCGCTTCTTCACAGCGGTGAGAATCTGGAGTTCACTTCTCGGGGTCTTGTCCAACATGTTCTTCAGAAAGGTGCAGGCCGAGCAAGCGGTGAACATGGACTCCTTTGTTCAGCACAAATGAGAAGTCACATGGCTTATGCCTTCCGACAATCAACTTTACGGCTTCAATCGAGAATCTGATTTGGCAATGCGAACCCAAGGCAGCTCGTTGGTCCAAGCTTTGCGAAAGGTCGATAAATCCGCAGGCTTTCCATCCAAATGCCCCAAATTTTGCTCACTCCTAGGTGTGACATGGTGTGACAATTTGTATGAACATGTCACGCATCACCCTTTGGTTTCACATACTTGGATTTGCTACTGACGTTTTTTCTCAATATAGCCTAAGGTTCCTCTCAAAGTCATACTGCGAATGGTAGAAAAACTTCCTGCCCGCTGGAAGATAGATCTGGAGGCTCATCGGTGAACGCTCCCCGTGCGTTTCAGCATATGTTTCGATCCACTGTCTGCTGTCCAGGTAGCGGTGGGCCTTTGCTTGATTGCGGATTGCCGTCCAGGCAAGGGCGTCACTACGCCAAATGCTCACCACTCCTTTCTCGATCTTGTTACGAATGTTCTGCAAGGTTCCACTGGATATCCCTGTAAGCTTTTGAAACGCCCTGCTGCAAATCCTCACTCCAGCAAACTTGAAGGTCCCAGGGTTGTCCTTGACTAAGTCTAACAGCATCTGCATTCGCCTGTCCCTGGGGAGGCTGCTCCAAAGAAAGCGCCAGTTCCTGAGTTTGGTCCAAATCACAGCTCAGCTTAGATAATGTTAAACCTGGGCGTCTTTCTGCGCTTTAACCGGGCCACTTCACGATTGCAGGGTTATTCACGAAGGTGCTCAAACATTCATGGTGTTCACGGCCAACAGCGCACTCACCTGCAATGTCTTTTTCCTTGGTTGCACGAGTCGATTGTTCATGTGTGGCAAGCGCTTTGAATCTGATTACTGACTCTGATTCGCAAGCGGTTTTCTTGACTTGACGCTGAATGACAAAATGAGC